AAGAGGGACGGCTACCCAAATACACAATTTTAAATTACATGACACAGCTGCCAACAATGAAAGTAACACTACAACGTTCAGGAAAATTTTGTCTTACGATATATATATATATATATATATATATATATATATATATATATATATATATATAATTATATATATATATATATAATAAAAAACTTAAACATTAATATTCCATGCTCATAATGAAAATTATAACCATGGAATATTACTGTTTAAGCCTTTTTATTATATCCTTACTCTGTCCTAGACATTGAGTTCTACCTGGATTCTATACTCTTGTAATATTTTTTTATACAACTATATATGTATGTGTATATTTACCACTAATATTATCTATCTATCTATCTATCTATCTATCTATCTATCTGTCTATCTCTCTCTCTCTCTCTATATATATATATATATATATATATATATATATTATTTAAAAGTTATTTTTAGTGGATACACGTAGTTGAGTAGACCCTTCGTTTATTTATTAAAAAGTATATACACTGGTCGACCCATTTTTGTATATATATATATATATATATATATATATATATATATATATGGCCTGACGATTAAATATAGCATGAAACAGATTGTCGCCTCTAAGTGTTGACTTCTATGTTCACTTTTATATATTTACAAGCTCTATCTCTGATATTGAGCACTTTACTCCATAAATATAGCATACCTTAAGACTATATTTCTTTATATATATATATATATATATATATATTAATTGATTTAAAATATATTATATATCTTACTGTTCTTTCTTTTTATTTATATCTATCTATCTATCTATCTATCTATCTATATATATATATATATATATATTGTGTGTGTGTATTTAGGTGGCATTTTTCCATTAATAAAAAAAATACTAAAAATGTTTGAATTGTCATTCAAATAGAGAGTTAAGCGTCGTGAAAGCGAGTTTGTGGTGTGACCAACATAAATATTATTTAATCCGTTGGAGATACAATCTCCCAGAGGGCATTTGAATTTGTGAACTATGTTGGTTTTCTTTGCAAATCACTAACAGTTGGGGAATAATCATTGCGAATAATTGAGTTGGATAACTGGATTTAATGTAGTATATGATAAAAATTTTTGCTAGGATCTGTTGTAGATATATTAGTATTTACCAATTTTTTAGTATATTTTCATCTTGTTTATAATTAGTATGCATTTGATTACGATATAGGAGATTAATGTTTGGCATTAGTTGATTATTATTATGATTATGTAAGCCGAAGGCTTACAAAGGATTAAGAATAAAACATGTATCAATATGGTGATTTTCTTTTGTCTTTCAATGATAATGTTATTAAGCTTATCAGACGTTATGAGAGGATTTTGCTTAAAATAAATAGACAAAACTCTATTTCGCTCACTGTGTTAGACTGTTCTAGTTCCACGTGCCATGTTTAATGGATGTCAGTTATCAGTAATCTCCTGTTAATTTCCCTGTGAGCGAAATAAAGGGTTAAGTTCGACATTCCAATCACATGAAGAACGCCGGAGCGTACGACGGCCGAAACGTTGTAATAAATATGGCGACAAAGATGAGGAAAATAGTCCGAATAATGTAAATAATGAACGTTAGAATTGTTGTGTTATATCCCTTCTCTTGTATGGCTGTGAATGCTGAACAATCACCTCGCATCTGAAGACAAAACTGGAGGTAATAGAAATGTTCTCTAGAATGATATTGATAATTCCATGGTCAGAGCGATTAAACAACAAGAATGTCTTAAAGAAAATAGCAAATAAAATACTTATTCTCAGAATCAGAAAGAGAGAGGTGAAATTCCTTGGATACATATTGAGGAAGGAGTGCTTAGAAAACCTAACTCACATGGCGTCATGAGAGATAGAGGAAAGCAGCGAGCCATCTATGAGATGAGATCGTGTGCATAGATGTCAGAACAGGGTAGGAGCCGTAACAAAAGGAAAACAAAAAATGTTGGGGTCCACAAGGGATAGGAAGTTTCGGAGAGCCACAACCGCCCATATCCTGAAGGTACGTTGCACAGAGAAAAAGAAGTGTGGTTGACGTTCGGAATCGATGCTGTTGAGAAAAAACGCAATCATTAATCAAGGACTAACTTGAGGCAACCTCTTTTAAAAGCAAATGATGCTTCTTTATACTTGAAAAGAAAAATTACGAATTGACTCATCAAACTTTGTGTTAAGTACCTAAACAGATCTGCTTTTTCCCTGAATAACATAGATCAGTTCTAAGAAAATAAATTGTTTGGAGAGAAGGTCTTCCCCAGAGCTGATTTTGTGAAAGCCGTGGCGAATGGGGTTGTTGAGATGCTGAAAAATTGTTAAGTGAGTGGTAGAAAGAATTGGGTTAGGGTCTCGGCTGGGTCGGAGTAAAGGATAAATACTTTGAACAGAAGGAAGTAAAGAGAAGAAAAACACTAATTATCAATCTCAAACCCTCCTCAAACCTAAGCCTAGCGATTTTTTTTTCTTTGCGGCCCGAGGGATTCTTGGTATGCCTCGAACTATCAGGATTTATGTACATACAAATGTATTTACATACTTACTCGTAGTTACTAACAGAAGCTTTTTTTCTTCTTTGTGTTACAAGTGTAATCTGATAACGGCATTCATTATTCAATAGGTAGAAACGTTTCAAAAGCACTGCTCACTCCACCGTTCACGGAAGCAGCAAATTGTCAAATTACACATACTTAAACGTACGGGCTTTTCTCCGGAAAGTATACTATAACTTTAGGAACCTCCACAGAAAGCACAATACCTAAGGTTTTAAATGAATTTTTACAAATGGAAGACCATTCTTGAAGCTTTTATTTTAGTTTTAATTTCAAGCTTATAGATTTAATTGAATATTTCTAATAAGCAAAAATGTGTTGCTCTATTTTAAAAACCAATTTAAATTGACTGGAAAGAGTTTCGTTTTAGAATACTAAATATAGCTTATTTTAGCGCCATTTTAGCCATCTTTCATCGCAATGAAACGCAACAACGTATATCTTTCAAGAATAAAATATACTTTTCTGAAAATTTATTTAAGGAATATTAGCTGATGTGAAGTTTAATTAATTTGAGTTGAAATAAAAATATTACTTTAAATTTAAAATATCGCAAAAATGCATTTTTTTAACACACCGGTAGCTGTTTATTTTAAGCGTTGACAGGTTGACATCTTGGATGACAGACGGAAGATTTTTTTCTACGGTGGATATATCTGTATAATTTACTTGAGGAACATAACGTGAGCGCCTTTTATATATAATTTTTAACTACCAAATAACCTTAAAAATTTAGGAAAATATTCTCCATAATCTAATGCTTTATTGAATTTTATGTACTTTGGACTTAAATTTACTATAGTTATCACTTTCATTTTCTGATAATGTCGTGTATGGACGTCCGTATTTACAAAAATCGGCACGTTCATACGCTCAAAAAAAAAAAAAAAAAAAATCAAAATTACTTTTAAAATATTGGTGTTCGCTGAATCTTACTTTTAACTCATATAAACATTAAGTCGCATAAAAAGGGCACGGCACATAAAAACGTCACATTAAGTAGCATAAATAGGACACAGAATAATAATAATATTCTTCTTCTTCTTCTTCTTCTTCTTCTTCTTTTAGAATAGAAGTTATAGCTACATATAGTTATTCCAACTATAAAATTATGGGACCTAACTGCCAATCTAGTACATCGCTTAAATTCAAGAAGTAGAGGTACCAAAGAGGAGAGTTCGTCAGAACAGTTACCATGAAAATATTTATAGAAAAGGCACAAAGAAGCTATGTTACAACGTTGGGAAAGGGATTGAAGCTGAGATGCCAGGTCAGGACCGATGACATCTTACTGGAATTTATTGTTCATTTTCTGTTAAAGAAACGTGACAAGACAACGTCTTTGCATCGTTACAAGGTCATATTGCCGGTAGGTTGAGGAAATCTACAAAAGAAGAAAAAAAACTTTTTTACAGCCACGTTGTAATTTACAGAAACGTTGTTGCAAACTTTTTTTAAAAACTGGTCTAATGTCATTACAAGTTTGTCAAAGAAATATGTTGTTAGTCCTTTTGTCAATCTGAAAATTTCTACTCCAGTCTTTTGAAAAAGAGCAGAGGTTTATCCATTCTTTCCGTTTAGGATTGGATTTCCGGATCCATCTAAAATCTACTTTAACTTCTAACATCTCCACCTAAACACTGAAATTTTATTTACTATTTATTTTAAATAGGAATAGATATGTTCACCTCTCATCAGATCTACACTCCTTCCCGTTTTTTTTTAACAGGAGTAGAGCTTTATCCCTTGTTTCCTGTTTAAAATTGGGTTTCCGGTTCCTTCTAAAGTCTACTTCACTTTTATACTTCTAACGTCTCTGCTTGAAATTAAAATTTTATTTATTTATTGCTGAATAGGAATGGATAGGTTCACCTGTCATCTGGTTCAAACTCCTGTCGGTCTTTTGAACAGGAGTAGAGATCTATTCCTTGCTTCCTGTTTGGGATTGAGTTTCTTGTTCCTTCTAAAGTCGTCTCATTCTCTTTCCCTCCCAGTGACCCCCTTGCTTTGGGTTAATTGATTAAAAAAAATGAAAATAACATCAGATTTCTTTCTCTTCACTTAGTAATATGACTAGAAGGTATTAAATTCAATTTTGTGAATTTTAACTGAGTATCACTAATTTATATGATGAGTACAGTCTTCTAAAATCTCCCTAGAAATCGTTATATTAAAAGATGACATATTTACAAAGTTGCAGGGTAAAAGGTTCAGGTAGGTTTTGAGCAAACTAATAAAAACGTTTTTGAAACCACGATGTAAAATTGCGGAAATAATGCGATATTCATGAAAAAAATGTCTTTCTACGCCAGGTTTAGGGTTAAATTATAATTTCTTCTTCAAGTGGGCCAACATTCCATGCCTTTCAGATACCCTTCAGCTTACGGCAATATCCTGAGATTTCTTAGCTGATAGTCTTACAGCCATACCACATTGAACCGCCGGTTCTCATACGACCACTGAAGTTAAGCAACATCCAACCAGGTCAGTACCTGGATCCATGACCGCTTGAGAACGCCATGTGCTGTAACCTGGGATGTGCGAGTAGTGTAATGGGTGACGGGTTGCAGTTGGAAATTGGAGAGCATGTATATAAATTCCCGTTTGATTCGTTATATTCACTTACGTGCCAATACCCCCTGGGAAAGACATGAAGCCACCTTTTCTACCCCCAGTAATATGAGTTAATTGGTAGGATTTGTATCAGCAAATCCAAGTAACTCTTGTGGATCGAGAAATCAGCTCTGTTTGACCTTCCTGCCCGCCAAAATTTATAAAAAAATTACAAAATTATGAAAAAATATGTGAACGAACTATAATGAAATCCTTATTGTTTAGCATTTTATAAAGTTCGAATCGATTGGCAATTATTCTTGTTGTAATGTTGTTTTTTGTTCAAAATAGCCGAGAATTAGGAATGCCGTAGTTACAGTATCGAAAGAACAGAAGACTAGATAAAGGAAACAAAGTAGAGGTTTATTAAATACTCATACAAAGAATGGAAAGACTTGAATAAATCAAATACTACTCAAAACCGTCTCTAATGTGGCTACTTTCCAAATTTAAAAGTAAAAGCAGTCCATTGTTACAGTAGTTGTTATTCTGCAACAATTTCAAAGAGCACAATCTGTCAGCTTCGTCAATTGCTTTAGCCAAAGTGTTTAGTGCTCACTCTTCATTTAAGATTTCTTCATCAGTCAGCACTAGGCTGACTATAAATAATCTATTGGCACATTTTCTAGGCATTTTTAGAAAAATCGGCAATGATTTAAAGAAATTTTTATACATAAAACTATTACAAAAATATTGGATAATTAAAACAAATTAATCAGTTATATGAAATAATTTTATAAGGAAATGTATAATGTTCGGAAAATTATCTTTATTTAAATTTTCTTTTTCCATGGTTTCTGAGGTCAGTCTGCCTGGATCATATGTGAAAAAAATCCGAGTGTCGTGTCCACAAATTATAATACAAAATAATAAACAACGCGAAGAAAATGATCCACACAGAAAAAGAAGACCGAGCTAAATATGACAATAACATTTATATTTACATGTTGAAAATCAGTGTTCATTTTTGTGGCCACGAAGAGACCAATAGTTCGATGTGATTTGTTGCAAGGAAGTCTGGAAAGTATCGAAGTTATTTTTTTGCAAGTGAGTCTGCAAAGTTCGAAAGGATATGTACGCCAATATGTATATGAATAACATGCTAAAGAAACACGTGTTTGACTGCTGACTGCGTGCTATAGCAGTCATTTTAAAACACAGTGAACAAGTAGAGAATACGAAATTTACTTTCGTCGCGGGTTGCATGTAGAAAGATCATCGCTGACGTGTGTCATTGTTGTTAATCGAGGCTGGTCTAGTTCGCTGAATGTTCTGTCACAGATCTGGTCGCTGACTGTGGCTGACAAGCCGTTTTTGGCTTATGGTGAGCAGGTGATCGGCTCACAAAAACTGAGTTTTGCGTGGGAATGTAACCCAAGCCCTGGCCTATTTCCAGGCGATTTGGAGTTCAACCACGCGGACAGAGCTCATCACGTGACTTGTCATATCCATTGAGGTTTCAGAAATCACTTATTAAATTTTGAAGCCGTTTTTGTACAGAATTGTAAAAAAGTTTAAAATATCTACTGAATTTAGTGAGATTTATTTATAGGTGTGTCTTACTTGTTTGTGCTTCACTTATTGGCCGTAAAATATAGGAGTTTATATCCTATAGGTTCATAGATATTTTTTATAAAATTATGAACGAAAAACTTGTTTTCATAGTTCTTTTTAATAAAATACTAAACAATAAATATTGCATTGTAGTCGGTTCATATATTTTCAAGATATTACAGAGGAGTGAAGGTATTCAAAATAATAGAGGTGTCAAGGGAAAAACGTCTTTATTATTATTATTATTATTATGAACGTTAAACATTGGCGAGTAATTTTTATCACTGTCGGTTCTTTTATACCATTTCCAAGCTGCGAGCCAGTCTTGTGTTAAGCATGAAAAGTCAGAATTAAACCAGAGACGCTCCCGTGAAGAATCTGACATTATGCAAGTGAGTTTGCCAAGTTCATTAATGATGGCATCAGTATTTTTCTGGCTAAGCTAATTCCAGGATTTAAGTCAAAGAGAAAAAAAATATTTAGAAATAGATTATTTGGAAATTTACCAAGCTGACCGTAAATGTGAGGGCACCCAGTGTGGAACATAGTAATTATGTGAGAGTAGGTCAATAAGCCTGATGAAGTTATTATTTTAATTTTGATTGCAAATCTTCACTGTATATGATATTATTACTGTCATGATATTATCGGCCCGGGGAAACGATCCCGGTGTGCGTCACTGTTGGACAGTGCCTGGAAAACTTACCACAGGTTGACCCAAGCCTTATGATGATTTTCTAAGAGTAGCTTAGATGCGGCACAAGGCCGAAAGTAAGGGGCACCCAGTGAGGATTGAAGTAACTATTCAGTCGTAATTGATCTAGTGAGACAAGCTTGCTAACAATTACAATAGGGCTATTATATGTGTAATCTAAGAGCATGGTTAATGGTTTTAATATAAGAATGCATAGAAAATTAGGAGTAAAGGTATTGTCAGTGGTCAGGAATTAATTCAAGCATTACAGACAGAATAGGACTTTTATTTGCATAATATAAATGCATTGCCAACGGTTATAATATAAGAATGCATTAAAAATTAGGAGGGAAGGGATTGTCAGTGGTCAGGAATTAATGCAAGCATTACTGACAGAATAGGACTTTTATTTGCATAATGTAAATGCAATGCCAACGGTAATAATATAAGAATGCATTGGAAATTAGAAGGGAAGGTATTGTCAATGTTCAGGAAATAATGCAAGCATTAATATCGGAATGGACCTATTATGTGTATAATGTAAATGCATTAGTAATAATTTTACTATAGGAATGCATTGAGAATTAAGGAAGAAAGGGATTATCAGTGGTCAGGAATGAATGCAAACATTACTGATAGAATAGAGCGATTATATGTATAATATAAATGCATTGCTAACGATTTTAATATAATAATACATTGGCAATCAGAAAGGGATTGTCAACGGTCAGGAATCCAAGTGATCATTAATGACAGAATAAGGTTATTACATGTATAATGTAAATGCAGTGCTAATTATTTCTGAGTATTAGAAAATATAATTATTGTCTGTTTAATGAAAGGCAGATATGAGCCAATCTGAGATTTTCTTTCTTTGTCTTCAACATAACCTGCATCTCAATTATTCCTAGCCTTTTGTGTCTCCGTTAGATATTAATTAATGCTAGAAATTCTTACCTCGGGGTACACTGATCAGATTTGATTTTGAAACGAATATATTCGAATGTCTTCTCTACGGTTCCAGTAAAAAGAAGTTTTTGAATATAATTTTTACTGCGTGTCCCCGTTGAATTGTTAGAGATGTTTAAAGTGGGTGGCTTTCCTAAGACATGACAAAGAACAACTGATTGATTTTAGATAAAATCTGTCACTAGAGGAAGGAAAACTAAAACAGAGCACTTACAATTTTGATCAGATCTTGGTTGGAGACTAGATATTCTTAAAAAAAATTGTGAGTCGACTTTCAAACAATTTTCACTTGAGTTTTAACCATGGGGCCAGCTGCGTGTTGCTAATCACCGTCAAAATTAGACTGAAATTATAAAAATAGATTATATTACAATCCATTGGTTTTCATTTTCCTTTCTATTGGGTGCTTTATCAGAACTTAATGGGTTTGTGTTAAACATTCCTTCGATATTACAGGCATTTAATTTAAAGAAATCCGCACATTGAATATTGCTGCTGCATTTGGTTTGGTGTTTCTGCTGTGTATCTAGAGACTCTTGACAAATTCCAAAGAAGAATCTGCATTGTTACTGGTCATGACCTGGCACTTCGGCCTCAATAATTTTCCCACCGCCATAACGTAACTCCCCTGTATTTTTTCTATAAATATTTTCCATTTCGATCGTTCTGATGAATTTTCCTATTTGCTACCCCAACTTCATGAATTTAAGCATAATACTAAATTTGAAATTATGGCCCATTATTTTACTGTCGAAATTGCTAAATGAAATTGTAAGTCCTATGGTAATAGTTTCTTCTTCGGAACTTCCCGTCTGAGGAAATGTCATCCGGCTTCTTGCATTCCCAGTCAATCAAAAAGTTCAAAAATTCCAATACAACGTCTATCATCATTTATTATCATCTTGAATCCAGTTCTTTTATTGCCCCCTCCCTTCAATAATATTTTCTAAGTTTCCTTACTGGGTAAATTGTCGCCATTTTATATTTTTAATTTTGCGCATGCACGTTGTTTGTTTGCTTTTTTTTATTTTGTCGATCGCATAATATAGTAGGGTCAGTTGGGCACCATCTATGAGAAAAAGAGCGACTTGACGCTATTCACTCCGCTAGAAATTTAGAAACGGCATGCTGTATTGTTTGGCATTCGCACCGGAAAAGCCCAATACGAACATTTCAGAGTGTTCGGCCGTCAATCTGAGGACACTACAAAGAATTTGGAATGATATTCAGTTAACATTATGGCGTTTGGAGTGATCACTATTGATGGGGACATTATGCCTCTAATCATCTTCCCACAGGGTCTCAGGATCAACACGGAGGCATTAGAGATGAAGGGAACAGATACTACACTTTGATATTAACATGATGCACAGGGGACAGAAAAAGTATATCTTCATGAAAAATTGTTTTGAGAGAAGGATTTTATATATTTCAACTGAATGTAGTACACTGGATGAATATAATTTACTGTTAAATACAAGGTGCAACAGAAATACTTCCCACATGATGCTAAGACATTTGCTGTAAGGTGTGGCACAAATACCACCCACATTATGATAAAAGATTCGTGTGATGAAGACATCATTGCCACTTACCTAAGTACATTAGCATGTTGGAGTTATTCCTGTTGCACCCTGTGGCTAATGTCTTATGTGGGAGGTATTTCTACGGCACCCTGTATTCCCATTATCATTAGAGATGAGGAGAACAGATACTACACTTAGTATTTACTAATGCTGCCAGGATGTGACAGTTTAATGTGGGGAGGCCTAAAAGGTTAAACAATAGCCCAGCCCCCACAACTATCGGTTGTGCAGGCATCAGTATTACTATCGATCACCCCTCTTTAGTGAAAGAGGGAGATAAGGCCTCAGAGAGCTGTTCCCCGATGATGGGAGCCTTTCAATAATATTTTCAGTTGCCCTCTACCCAAAGACAAAGACACAATTGAGGTGTGTTCTGTCTGAAGACAGAAACACAATTGAGAGATAAAATGTTGTTTATCCGAAAGGCAGATACTACACTTTTAGCCAGACAGTGAAGAAAAGCGTAACTAGTATCGCACAGTCGATGAATACCAAATGTTTTCTTATAAGAAAACGGTTAATATTACCATTACCATTAGAGATGAGAACATATACTACACTTTGATCCTAGCCCGATGGATAGGCAGTGAATAGAAGCGTAACTAGTATCGCACGGTCGATGAATGCCGAATGTTTTCTCATAAGAAAACGATTAATATTACCATTACCATTAGAGATGAGGAAAACACATACTACACTTTGATCCCAGCTCGATGGATAGGCAGTGAATAGAAGCGTAACTAGTATCGCACGGTTGATGAATGCCGAAGGTTTTCTTATAAAGAAACGTCTAATATTACCATTACCATTGGAGATTAGAACAGATATTACACTTTGATCTCAGTCCAATCGCTAAACAGTGATGAAAATTGTTCACTTGTGTCACACAGACAATTTGCTTAATGATTGCTAAATGTTCACTTCTAAGGAAACAGCTAATATTATTATTACTGTTATGCTAAAGGAAATGGCAGGTTATTATGAGATAAGCGAAAACACAAGACTGCTGTTGATTAAGTCTTTATATGGCATGTGAGAGTCGGAAGAGTCAAGACATCTTTTCTGAAACTTTCATTTCTCTTCTTAGTCTGTTTCCCTGCTGTCTTAGCACTTTCAAAAATGGAATTAAAATGGCTGTCATAACATTTTTGATCTAAAGTGTCTAAACCTCATCTGTTTAATTAAACGGCGCAAATTAAAACAGAAATCTTGCCTCTTATTAATTATTGATTCCAGTTATTCTCGTCATTTGTGATTCGGTGTTGAATCATCTTTATTCCTTTCGTATTTCAAGGCTTATGACCATATCATATTGAAACACCGGTTCTCATTCGATCACCAAAGTTAAGCAACGTTGAGCCCGGTCAGTACAAAGGTGGGTGACCGCTTAGGAATATCGGGTACTTGGATGTGCAGGTAATGTAATGAATAATGGCTCAGAATTTGAACTCCGCTCTCCTCCTTTGAATTCCAGTTAGGTCGTCATATTCACTTACGGGCAAACACTCAGGAATGCCAGGTGCTGTCTACTTGGACGAGCGGGGGGGGGTCGTGTAATGGACAATGGTTAGGAAATTGCCAAGTTTCAGTTCCAGTCGGGTTCATTGTATTCGCTTATGTGTGTGTATGTATGTATGTATGTACGGTTATATATTGATGGGAATGCATATTTGTACATGCATGCACAAGTATAACAAAAATACATGTATACGTCTGGCTGCGTTTATATATATTTGATACACATGTGTGTGTGTGTACACACACACACACACATATATATATATATATATATATATATATATATATGTATATCACATTTATATATATATATATATATAGCTGGCCACTCGTATTCGAGGATACCCGTCTATTAGGATGGCTAGCCAATCCCTATCGCAGACGCTTGCTCAGGCACATTAGTGTTTATTCAACACCCACAGAGTTCACCTGTAGTTTATACTGCAACTATGTTGAGCAGACCTAGCGGGATCAACAATTTGAACAAGGCCAGCACGGTTAAGTCCTCGGTCATGATGACTTGTAACTTTGTGCTAGTACAGCTATCGATGGCCCCCAAGTTTCACTCACAAGGTTTGGGTCAACTCGTGGTATGCTTTTCAGGCACTTTCCAAAGGTGCCACACGCTGGGATTGATCCTTCCAGTCCGATCTTATAAAATATTTCAGTTATCTATTTGGATTGGTCTTGCTTTTATGTCAATCGTCTTTTTCATGTTGAATTGAATATGGTCTATGTTAATTATGTTTTATGAATATGTCCTGAAGATGGTCTATTAGACCCGAAACATCCGACGTTGACATTATATTAACATTAAAACAGCATAATTGCATATGAGGATTTTTGTTTGTTTTTCCCTTAAGTATATTTTCTTCATATATATATATATATATATATATATATATATATATATATTTTGTGTGTGTGTGTGTATGCATTTATATATATATATATGTATATGATAATAATAATAATAATAATAATAATAATAGTAATAATAATAATAATATTAATGCCCTGATCTACATATCCAAGAATACCAAACAGTTCTAATATGGATACAGATAAAACAAACAAGGCCAACAGACTCTTTTCAAGTTTAAATCATGAGGTGATGGGATGGGGCAATAAATTTGATCTACGACGCCCATTTTTCATCAGAGATCCCAAGACATTTTTTTTCACAATGTTTTTGCCTTTCTTTCATTATCAAACTGAAGAAGCTAGAGAGTACACACATTTTCTCCTATGGTGAAAGGCGTCTTTGATAAAAACAAAACAATTTTCACTTGGTCTCATCATTTTGTTCTAGATATTAACCATCCTAAAAACATGCATTTACTTGTGTGCAAGTACCCTTGAGAAAGGTCCGAATCCCTCTCTTCTCCCCTCAGCTATTGGTTAATTAGTGGAAATCACATCTTTGTATTCCATTGGTAAGAAGGATGTTCTACTGAAACAGCATTTTCCTGACAGATACTTTTTGGAAAAGACTGCTCAGAGAATGCTTTCTCAGTCACTAAAATCTTAACCCCCTCAAGTACAGTGTTGACCACTATGTATCTTACATATATACATAAGCTACAATTCTTAAAAAAAAAAACTCGATTCGGTAATACTCTACCTTGAGGGCTCTTAGATCTTGAATTTGTTGAAAATGAATAAAACAAAAATGAATTTGTTTTACCTTATCCCATTTGATTTAATTTTTATTCTTTTTCAGGTTGTGTATGTTGGCCGAGAAACTATTTGTACCGTGGATGGTCTACACTTTAATAGCATTTATAATGCACGTGTAAAGGCACATAATCATGCTGGAGAAAGTAGTTTCAGTGAATTAGTCAGCTTACAGACTGCAGAAGGTAAGTAAATGAAATCAATTTTTTTTTTTTTTTAACAAACTGGCACTAGTTAGGTTAAGTGGTCTGCTCTTAAAAATTAAGGAAAAAAATTAAAATAATTTTTGTACATTAGAATTCAGAAGAATTTCCTCTACCTACGACATTTGTCAAAAATCTAAAGATATGGATTTCATATAATTTTAGAAGTGGGGGTCCTATTCATAATATAAATACAGTGTCAAATTGATCCCTGACTTTTTAAAGATTTATCTATGTTTTGATTTTATTTACAGATGTCAATTTTGAAACATTGGTAACCATATACAACTGATATTCTCATTTTTTCTCTCAATTTATGATAATGAGGAAAATGGAAATGAAAAGAACCCTTATACACAGAATCAAAGAGACACAACTGAAATCTCACATAATGAGGAAGGAGGGCTCAGAGAATTTGATACTCACAGGACATAATGACAGGGGAAGGCAATGGGTCATTTACCTGAACAACTTGGGTGAATCTATGGAGCAATGGAGATGTGTAGTGGCATGCCAAAATGACAAACCTCATTAAGAGCTACAAATGATGGGAAGTCATCAAGAGAATGATTACCAATATCAGACCACATTCATTTAAATTGATTCATTAATTCATTTTCTACAGTTTATCAGCATGTTATTTAAAGCCAGAAAATATTTTTAGATTGAAAAAAATTTGGCAGGGTAGATAATAATGCTTTAGTTATATAAGTCTTACTAATTAACCCATAGCTGGGGGAGAAGTGATGGTTTCATACCTTTCCCAAGTTTATTTCTGTGTAAGTGAATATAACAAATCTAATAAATATTAGAACTTAGCTCTCTGATTAACAATTCCAAGCCATTATACATTACACCACCCACACATCCAAGTTTATAGCACTTAATATTTCCAAGCGGTCACCCATTTAGGCTCAACATTGCTTAAATTTATGATGGTATGGGAACCAGTGTTTCAAAGTGATGTGGCCATAAGAATATAGAAGAAGCAGTAAACAATGATCATTAATGTAAACACGGTTTCAAACTTTTGTAAATAACAACTAAGTCCAATAACTCTGTAAAATGTCAAGAATTGATTTGACACTGTATTTATATTATAAAAAGGACACTAACTTCTAAAATGATAAATCATTGAATATTGTTCAATTCTGACAAATATCATGGGTAGATGATGATGATCTTCTCTGTTCAGTTTCCCTTCAGGATGTTGGTGATCATGGCTCTCCACAATTTCTTGTCCTTCAATCTGTCCTGTGAGGAAGGTCAATGCTAATCTACAAAAATTATTCAAAATTAAATTTTTTAAAAGCAGACTGATTAATCTAAGTCAGGTGTGGGCAAACGTTTTTTTATAGAGGGCCCCATCATTGTTGGCCTTGTGAAGATTGCACAACTGAAGGAGAAATAAGTTTCAGATTTAATACATTTGATATTAATGATGAGATTTGTATGTCTCAGAGAGAATATTTTATAATCAGAAGAAAATCTCAATAAATCTCATGAGACATTTAAAGCAAAGCGCCAAAAGGACATCTGATGCATCCACAAGCAGCTAGATCCCAATGTCAGTTTACCCTGTGGTGATGATTGATTGGGCATTGACATCTTCACAGTGTGGACAGAGCAATCCAGATATCCCTGTCAGCAGCATATAACATGACATGTTGATGTTGTAGGAAGTGAGTTTCCAGGATAATTGGGGTATCACCTTTAAATATATGTTTTGCAGCTTTGTTGTGTTTATTCCTATTGTTCAACATATCACCCCCTCACCAAAAAAATACCAAAATCTATTAATTGAGACTAAAAAAAAAAAATGATTGCTGTACTCTTGCTTGTTACATAAAATCCTTAGACTGGCTGAATGCTGCCCAGGGTCATAGTTTTTCCACTCCTGAACTAAGTAGTGCCAATAAACTCAAACACTAACAGGGTCAAGTGTTGTAAATACAGATTCGGTTAAATAAAGAGAATGATGACACTAATAAGCAGCTTTGGAGAGAGAAAAAAAAATGAAAAAAGTTATTTAATTTGAAAAAGCTCTGTAAATAATTATTGATTTTTTACAGCTTTTTTTTGCCATATTTTTGTTGCTCAGTTAATCAAATAAACGTCATACAGTGTTCAAATTGCTTCAATGAAGCCATTGACAGTTATTGTTTTAGGTTGATTTTGCTTTTACTTTATTAATGTAGTGTAGATACTACCAATGTGAATACTGCTGTTGATAAAATTACAGATATTACTAATAATAAATACTACTGCTGATAGTATTGTATTTACTATGATTGTGAATAGTACTGTTGATGATATTTCAGATAACAATGAAAATACTACAATGGGTAATATTTTAGATACTTCCAATGTGGTTATTACTGTTTGTAATATTCTAGATACTTCCAATGTGATTATTAATGTTTGCAATATTCTAGATACTTTCAATGTGATTATTACTGTTGATAATATTCTAGATACTTCCAATGTGATTATTACTGTTGATAATATTCTAGATACTTCCAATGTGGTTATTACTGTTGATAATATTCTAGATATTTCCAATGTGATTATTAATGTTTGTAATATTCTAGATACTTCCAATGTGATTATTACTTTTGATAATATTCTAGATACTTCCAATGTGATTATTACTGTTGATAATATTCTAGATACTTCCACTGTGATTATTACTGTGATTATTAATGTTTGTTTGTAATATTGTAGGTACTTCTAATGTGATTATTACTGTTGGTAATATTTTAGATATTTTGGTTATTACTGTTGAAATATTCTAATATTCCATTTTGATAATATTATAGAAAATATTCTAGATACTTCCAATACTTATTACTGTTGATAATATTCTAGATACTACCAACGTTAATACTGTTGATAATATTCTAATGTTTCCAATGCTACCAATGTTAATATTACTTTTGATAATATTGTAAATACTACAATGTGAATACTGTTTTTGATAAAATTGCAGATAATACTAATGTGAA